TTTTTAAATCTTATTTTTGGTACAAAGTGACCTTTGTTGACTGATAACAATGATTCTGTACATGCAGTGTTTACGTCCTGGTGACCACTAAAGTAAAAGTTTATGAATAGCTTTGTGTTTTCTCAGATAGGGTTTTAGAAGTAACTACCTGGAGGTGTTGCCAAATGGCTCCAAAGAGGTGAGACTTGCATCTTAAAGTGTTTTTGACACAGTCCAGCTCAGGCAGACTGCCTGAACAGGCTTTTCTCCTTTTTCATTCCAGTCTATAAATGATCTAATTGTCTTATTACAGATGAAAAGTTAATAAGGGAGGAAATGCACATTTAGTCCCTTTATTCCACTAAGGGGTTTTGCAGTGACATCCCTCTTCCTCTGGTTTGACTGTTAATACATAGTGCTGGATTGAGCAGAGCTAAGACGCAGTAAGCAGAGGGCCAAACACTGGACAGTTGAATTGAAGCATGAGACATAATAGTGACTTATATTGAATCCTTTAAATTTGGCTAAATGTGGTAAAATAGGATATTGGCCTAAGTCTTCATTAAAAAAAAAAAAAAAGAACAAAAACCAAGAAGACTTATTCTTTCATTGTTAGTTTAAGGCACTTTTGTTTCATTGTTTACTCCAAACGTTGTGTGTGCATCAATGAATGGGCTGAATGGAAGGATTTCTAACAGCGATACAAATATCTGGTGATATAAAAACGAAATATTCTGATATACCAAACAGAATCAAATCAGATCCCTAACTTTTGATATGTGTAGTTATTTATTTAGTCATTTATTTACTCAGATCAGTTTCCTGTGTGTTGCCAAAAATGAAGGTACTCAGAGCTCTCTCTCTCTCGTGAACAAACTATGAAACATTAACACTCCTAAAATTATTGAAGGGTGTTTCTCTTCTTTGCTGTTTAAATTCTTATTTGCTGATGTCGAGATGGCCACCTCTGAATTGATATTCTAGACTTGTAGTTTCTGTAAGTTTGTTTGCATACTCTCTCTATTACAGTTAGATGGTAAAGACCCATTGCTAAAGATTCATTAGCATAATGCTTTCTTTCATTGAGATTTAGGGGTTGTCGTGTTTTCCTCTTAGGATGCTGCAAGCTGGTTTGAGCCCTGGGGCTGTATTTTACCCATTTGTGGTATAGTGGCTAACCATAGCAAACTTTAAATAGATACTGCTGTTGACAACAGAGACTCAGTCTTCTGACTATAAAAGCTGAAACTACAAGCAATAAATGTGCTTTTGCGGTGTTCTGTAAATTCAAGCATTTGACGACTGGGCCTTATTAGCTCATGTTGGCTTTTGTTATCAAATTCTAGACTGATAAAGATAGACACAGAGACAGTTGGCTGACTTTTAAGGTGCTGTCTCCAACCATGTTTCAGAGAGTGCCAGTACTTTAGTGGTCATTCATTTCAGATTTATTTGTCTCGCCTACATTTCTCTCATGGCTTTACTGGATAGCAGCCTCTACACACAAACATGCAATATGTGTTCAGAATAACTGGAAAAGGAGTGAAAGAATTAAACTATGGATACAGTGGATCCAAAATCACAATAATAAAAAGTGCATAAAGATGCTAGTGTAAAGTAACTGAAAGTAGAGGGGAAAAGATAATATAGGGAACGTGTTAAGTTTAAGGTTTTCTGTTAGTCCAGCATTTCTTTGTTACATCAAGTCATCTTCCTGTGTCTTTAAAAAAGTGAGTGCTTATATTGTTATTAGAAACATATACATTTTTGGTTTTTGGTCAGTTGTTAAATTGAGGCGCCCTTTTCTGGAGATAAAACAGACTGGTGTTTTTGACGTGTGAGTTTTCTGAGAAAGTACTTATGGCTACCTTCCAGGACATTATCTGAGTGCAGACGTAGAACTTGATCGATGAGGCTGTAAAAATGTCTACGTCGCTGTCAACTGTTTGACTCTCGAGCCATGCGTGTTTATTTGACCTACTTGTGTGTGTGTTTATGTTACCAGGTGGTGGGTCTCTACCGTCTGTGTGGTTCGGCAGCAGTAAAGAAGGAGCTGCGTGAGGCGTTTGAGAGAGACAGCCACGCTGTGGAGCTGTGCGAAAACACGTATCCAGACATAAACGTCATTACAGGTAAAATGATCACCAGGAAACAGAGAAGATGCCAACAAGGCATAAGATTACTAAACACACTTAGTTTAATTACAAGGGTGTTATTCAAACCTGACAAAGTTTCCAGAGAGCACTGGTGTGTTTTGGTCTGTTTATCTGTAAATTACCTTCTTACTTGTACTTAGCAGGATAGTTACAAAATGAGCAATGTATGCAGTTTCTAATTTAAAAAGAGACTGAACAGGATTTTTTTTGAAACCCAGTTCTTCAGTTTTCACTCACAAAACCCAAGTAAAAATCCACAAGTGACCATATTTGGACAGGAATTTGAAATGCTAAGCTATGAGCTAATGCTCGCTTGCTTAGTTAGCAAGCATTTGTAGCATGAATATGTACATTACAAAGATAGTGCTACCTGCTAATAACCGCTAAATAAATGTTAGTCAAAAATGCAGTTTTACTCAACTTACATGAGTACATTTAGTCCCACAGCAATTATTTGATAGAAAATTACATCAAAAATGTTCCAGAAGGCAACAGATTACTTATAGTAGCTGAGGCAGCTATTAACTACACCTGCTGGTTCAATTCAAAACAGCCACGCCCTTAATAACAATGGCAAAAATACCTTAATACAATTTAAACAGGCAAATTATAGACAAATTCACAACCCTGCATATGTATGGCAAAGCCAAAAATTCACGATAGAGATCAAAACATTTTTTTAACAGGACAATGAAAATGTTTATTTCTGCTGTAAAGTTGGGCAATTTAACATTTAATAATTTTCTGTCTGCCTCAAGTGGCCAATAAAGGAATCTCAGTTTTGGCACTACCACAATTTCTTACTTTTCCAATCCCTTGGAAGCTTAATAACTAAATAAAATGCCCACTTTTCTATAACAAGTTGCAGTTAATATTGAGTAAAATAAGGGTGGAGAAATGACTAAGGACTAGGAAAAACTAACAATGAAGTTAACAGACAGCTGTTAACTGCTTCTATAGCTGTCATTAAGTAAATACTAACCGCAAACCTAAAACTGGCATCTCTAATAGGCATCTCATTTAATCATTTGACATGTACACACGACTCCCAGTAAAACAAGAAAAATACAATTCATGAGAGTTTTTAACTCATGGAACAAAACTAACAAAAACAAATGGGGTGTTAATGTAATGGAGTCCAGCTTCAGTATTGATCCACTGCAATAAATTTTCCTGAATGTAGCCATGGCGAATAGGTCAGCACCTGTGTATATCAAAGGAGCTTGCAAAGAAAAGCATCTGGACTTCTTTTCTTTGCAAGCTCCCTTGACTACGATGACCTGGATGACTGAGAACCTTCACAGACACCTGTGTATATCTTATAATAATCTATGTGTGTGTGTGTGTGTCAAATCCCTGCAACATAAAGATCAGTGTGAGAGGAAGGGCCACACACACACACACACACACACACACACACACACACACACACACAAAGTCAAACAAATCAGATCATTGCACGCATTCGGACTGTTCTTTCAGTTTTTGTGCTTTGGACCTTGTAAATCACGTCAAATGTGGGGATTTTTATCTTGTCAAATGCAAAAAAGTCCCCCTGAAGCTGTTTGACTGTCCAACAAGCAGAACTGCAAACCTTACATTTCTAATTTAAACGCCATTCAGATTCCTGTCAGCTGAATTTCTTTTCTGCTCTGTTGCTCCATTGAAATGAAAAAATGGAAACAGTGAGCACATCTCACAAAAAGAAACCCCAAAATCAGCTGTGGCATTGAATTGAGTATTACTTCTAAAAGTGTAGCAGATTTGGGGAGATGGGGAGGGGGCGGCAAAGTTGTCGAAAATGACTTGGTCATGATTTTTTTTTTCTTCCACAAAAGGAGGAAAGGACCATGGAAACCCCTGGGCATTTTAGGGGCTGCTGTTGGTTTTGGGGAGAGGCCCTGTATAGGCGTCGTCCTATCATGCCTGCTTTGATCCACATGCGTTTGCATGGCAGGGCAAAGCACACAGTTAACAGTTGAGCGGGTTAGAAAAAAGGATTGTTGGTTTTTGCTCGCTGCCTAAATTTGCTCTGCCAGGCGAATTGCCATTGCAGATGGGTCTGAGTGAGTGGACGAGGACATAGAGAGAAAAAGAGCTGAAGATGAAGAGGTTTATGGTGTGTGCTTTAAAAAAAGCAGGGATTTCTGAGATATAGTGATAATAAGGTAAGAAAAAATAAAAGAAAGGATAAAAGGTACAGCAGAATAAAAAACACACAATAACAGGAGTTTTAAAAGCTGATTGTAGCATTGTTATATTATACACACTGTTTGATTTCAATAGCCAACATACACGGAATAAAAAAACATATATTTTGCTCTAATTTTAATTCATAGTGGAAGCCTTAAACTAAGCTTGGAGTCTTTTGTTATGGAGTCAGACGAGAGGCTAATTAGCGAACAGCTAATGGAGCTAAGAGGGCTGGCGCGTCGCACAGCTAATTTAAAAATGGAGGTAGTGAAAGGGATTATCCAGGGGTCAGAGTTCAATCCTAAGCTTGCAAAACATGCTCCGCGCATGGCGCTCCATTGTTTCAAATCACAGTTCTTTGCTTCACAGTATGTTTCACAAAATGCTCACATTTCATTTAATTTAAAAACAGTGTACACTTTATTAGATACACCTTGCTGCTACTGTTAGTAGTAAAGATTCAACAAGGTGCCGAAAACATTCCTGATCCATATCGACACGATAGAGTCACACAGTTGCTGCACATCTGTGTTCTCATTCCACCACATCCCAAAGGTGCCCAAAGTGAGAGAAAGAAACTATCCCCTACCCCATCACACCACCACGACCCTGAACCACTAATACAATGCAGGACTGACAGACTGCTCCATGCTTTTGTGTTGTTTATGCCAAATCGTGGCCCTATGAAGCAAATGTTGTGGCAGAAATTGAGATTCATTGGAGCAGGCAACATTTCCCACTGTTCTGATATCTACTTTTACTGAGTCCATCTAAAGTGTCCTGTTCTTAGCTGACATGGGTAGCATCCTGTGTGGTCCTCTGCTGCTGTAGCCCATCTCTTCAAGGTTCAATGTGCCGTGCGTTCAGAGGTGACCTTGGTTGTAACCAGTGGTTATTTAAATTACTCCTGCCTCCCTATCAGTCTGGAAGAAGTCTGGCTATCATCCTCTGGCCTCTGACATCAGCATCTATTTTCAGAACTGCTCCTCACTGGATATTTTCTGGACCGTTCTCTTTAAACTCTACAAAGGCCTCTGAGCACATCCTGATGACATTCTTCTTCTTTCTTCTTGGTATCCCTTTTGTTGAAGAATGAAGGCTTCAATCAGTGGTTTGACATGATAATGGGGGGATCGGTGCCCTCTATGGTAGGCCCATATGGTAGCTTTGCCTGAAGCCCCTGCGAGTGTGCGGTTGTGAGCACCTGAACATTTTTTGCCACACATGTGTTAAATTATGATTAAATCCATCTAATAGAAGATTTTGGTCTCAACGTGGAAACAAAGTCTTGAAAGTCACTTCTCCTCTACTAATGGAACTGGTGTGTCCTCTGCCCTTTTTCATTCGGAGCACTGGCATTGATTTTTAGTCTGTGGTCTTCAATTTTCCTTGCCTGAGTCGACTTTTCCATAGCCTGCTACTCTAAATTGCCCCCAACCCCCCCAGCACCCCCAACCCTTGCCAGTACTCCAGTGAAGACATGGAAAGTCATTAACAAGTGCCCCCTTTGTTGCCGAACAAACACAGATGGTATTTGGCTCACGCACGGGGGATTAGCTGAACCCTGGGTCGGCCGGGGAGGCAGGCAACCACTTGGTGAAGAGTTTTAGAACGGTGGGGCTGTCAGAATATTTCTTAAACTGCAGGGTGGGATTGAAAACTGGAAGCAGGCGTATTTGTGATGAATCCACGTGTACCGTGTGAGCGCGTGGTTCTAGAGTTAGAGCTGGAGTCTGCTCAGTTTTGGAAAAGTGAAAAAGTTGAAGCAGCAACTGTACATTTTGTGTTACTACATAAGGCAGTACACAAACACAAATCTCCTCTGGCCCCCCTAGTGGCGTGGGGGCGTGCGGGATAGCAGAGAAGGGGGCAGGACGGAGAACAAACCCCCTGTTTGTTCTCCAGGCGAGGCACTGACTGCAGCACTGACAAGAGGAGTGACCTTCCGCTTTGTTTGAACAAGAGGTCAAAGGTAGAGCCATTCCCCAGTGCATTGTGTCCCTTGTAGTGTTTGGTGGCATATTTGAGACACTGAAATAGTCTGAAGTGAGCAAGGAAAAAAAAAAACTTGTATCAGATTACTTTGAGGTGCTTTCAGTTTTTGTTAATGTTTTTCTTTAAGTGTTTGTTTCTGCAGTCTTTATCAGCCAAACATGTAGGTGGAGGTGGGGAAAGTATATGTAGCGCAGTGCAGATAGTGCTGGTGCAGAGCCATACCAGTCCCCCCCACCCGACAGTTTAAATCTGAGTGAAAAAGACACGCAGCGTGCGCCTGTTGTCAGCTTGCTTGTTGTCAGCTTGCTTGCGACCACAGTTCTCATGCATATGTGCATATATGTGAGAGCTGTGTGTGTCTGTTTGCGTGAAAAAGGGCATCAACAGGGGCTAACACACCGAAGTAAACAAAGCACCGAGTCAAAGCAGGCTAATGATTTACTTGAATGGCCCCATTCTCCTCACGTCAGACGAGCCCATGTGCACATGCACGTACACAGTTTTGGCCAGTTGGCTTTTGAACTGGAAAGAGCCTAAATGTGTGTGCTGCTTTCATGTGTTGCATATCAAGAAAAACACGAGTTGTTTCGCTTCATCGGGCAGCGCTAACGTGTAACAGTCCCGCTGTTGTCGGGTCTTCCTTGCAGTGCAGGGAAGGTCAGAGGGCTCTGCATGATTTTCTGTAATAATGGCAGCAAAAAGCAAGCCAGGCGGCGCCTCCCAGCACGTATTATTCGCAGATGCAGAAAAACACAAAACAAACAAAGAAATAAAAGCTTTATTTTAGC